GCCTCGCTGCCAAGCTTGACGGCTTCAGCGGCGAGATTGGCGAGCTCTCCGCCCCCGCCCCTGGCAAGGGCTGGCTCTCCGCCGCGGAGCTTCCCCCGGCAGACCGCCGAGCGCCTCGGGCAGACGGGGGCGCGCGGCCCCGCGCTGGCGGGGGCGCCGGCGCCCGCGAGGGCGCAGGTGCGCAGCGCAAGCAGGAGGGCGCGGCCAAGGCGGCCGCGGAGGCCCGCGCAAATGAGGCCGCCGCCAAGGTAGAGGTCGACGTTCAGGGCGCGCCTAAGGGCTGCAGGGGGGCGCGAGCGGCGAGGCCCCGCCAGCGGCGCCTTGGGCGAGGAGGACCTCTTCGAGTTCACAGCGGGCAGCGCTGACACAGCCCTCAAGCAGGTGCCCGCCGCCTGTGGAGTCGCTCCTGGGCCGGCTGGCTCTCGAACTGCTGCTGGGCGAGCTCGAGGAGGGCCGCGTCGCGAACGTCGGCGAGAAGCAGTGGGTCGCGCGCCGCGGGTGGCATCGGCGACCGGCGCCGCGGCCGCGCCGGTAGATCGACGCCGTCAACGCCAGCGCGGTCGGGGCCCCATCAGGTTCTGCTCGCCAGGCGCCGCGCTGTTTTCTCAGGAGATGCCCCCCCTGCTGAGCTCGACCTGTTCCCCAGACGCGCGTGCGCAAGTGTGGCTGGGGCGTCGGCGTGGTAGGCAGCGCGAAGACTGGCCGCAGCTGGGGCGCTGGAGCACTCATCATTGCGCTTGGCAGTCGCGGGATGGACTGCGCGCGCGGCGGCGTTGCACCGCGGGGTATTTGGACGCGCGGGGCCCCGGGGCGGCTCGCCATAGCGCGGGTGGGCGCCGCGACGCCGAGGAGAGGCTCGGTGTGCGCGTGGAGCAGTGAGGGCCTCGCCGGGCGGACCGCGGCCCAGCCGAGGAAGTGGGCGTGCGCTTTGGGGGCCCCCGTCAGGGCTGGATCTGGGGCGGCGACTTTAACGCGGGCCCCCGGGAGTCGGAGGGCGCCGAGCTGCGGTGCCGGATGCGCGCGGCCCTCGCGCGCGACAAGCAGCTTGGGTCCTGCGTGGCGGGCGAGGGGCGACGCTCGCGCAGGAGCTGCATCGCGCGCCCCCTCGCGGGCGCATGCGTCGAGGCGCGGGCGCAGGAGGGCTTCGACGTCGCGCCTGATGGCCCCCTCTCCCACGAGGAGAGAGACTCCTCCAGGTGCTGCAGAAGCCGAAGCGGCGGCCCATCGCGCTGCCCGTCGGCCGCGCGGCGCAACCGGTAGATTGGCCACGCCGGTTGCCGCGGCGAGGCGCTTGCGAGCAGGAGGCCATGGGCGGCCGCTGAAGCGAGGCGGGGCGCGCCTGCGAGCACCGCCAGGACTTTTACTTTACTTCGACTGCGCGGGCCTCTTTTCAGCGGCGGCGCGGGCGCTTCGACCGCCCCGCCTGCGCGGGGGCCGATCGTCGCCGGCGGAGGGCGAGAGGCCGCCGCGTTGCAGGCGCGGGCCGAAGGCGCTGAATTGCTGCAGAGGAGAGTCGCGGACATTGTCGCCGTTGCCACGACCGACGCGGCCATCGGGCGCCAGGGTGCATTGGGGGGGTGACTGGCGCCCCTGCTTGTGGCAGCTGGGGGGCCATGGGTGCGCGGCCAGGGTGGCCGGCGCCCTCGATGCGATCGAGGCTGGGGCGCCGTTGCCCGCGTCGCAGGCAACCATCTTCTTCCACTTCATGGCGAAGCCCGCGAGCGGTTTCCGCAACTTTGGGATGATTCCAGCGTCGGCCAGGTTGTGGGGGGCCATCGAGGCGCCATGCGTGCGAGCGTGGGAGTTGACCCGCGCGCGCGACTACGACTGGGCTTCGAACGGGGTGCTCCAGTGAGCGTGCAGGTTGGATGCAGGCGCTCTTCTGCGAGTCCACGGTGGCGCAGGACCTGGTCTGTGCGGTCGCGTACTTCGGCCGAGTCCAGTGCTTCGAGGACGTCTCGCAGGCCGCGGCGTGGAAATCCTGGTTCCACTGGGGCTTCAATCGCGATGGTCCTGGGCATCTACGGCATGGTGCGGATAATTGTCTTGGGCGGCGCTTGCCGCTGGGCGCGCGGCGTCGTCGCGGGCGGCTGATTCTCGGCCTTCTGCTTGACGATGGTCATCTTCGGGGTGCTGGATGGCGCGGTGCGGGCGTTCCCTTGGGCGGGCGCCCGCCCCTTCTTCGACGACCTCGCGGCGGCCGCGCTCGCGGGTGTAGCCGGCGCAAAGATCGGGGGGCGGCGCCAGAGCGTCGCCCTTTCGCGGGAGCAGGGGGGGGGGGGCGCTCTACCTACATTGTGCTGCTCGCCGAGGGGGTGGGCCCACCGATCGCGGCCGACGTGGCGCCCTTCGTGGCGCGGGCGCGCGCGTGGCGGGAGACAGTCGACCAGCCTGCAGACCGCGTGGAAGTGCTGGGCGCTGGAAGCGCTTGGTGCTGTCGCCAGTGGGCCTGCTGGGGCCTTCGTTGCCGCGCTCGGGCGTCTGGGGTGGCCAGCGCAGGCAGCTCGCTCCATCGCCGTCAACGGCGAAGCGCTGGACTTGAGGGCGCTGCCGCCGTAGGCGCTGCGATTCGGATTCGCGCCGCCGCGGAGGAGGGCCATAGGGGCGCCCGGCTAGCGAAGTGGGGCGAGTCCTACAACGTGCAGTCGCCATTCGGGGACCCCGTACAGGCCTTGCCGAAGAGACCGTTCACGGTGTGGCGCTGGGCGCAGGCGCGCCAGGCGCGCGCCCGCGCGCCGCGGCGTGGCGGCAGCTGGCCGCAGGCGAGGCCCCACAAGAAGAGCGTGATCAGCACGCCCATCTGCCAGGCGCGCCACCGCGCGGAGGGGGCGGACCGCCGCCGTGCGTTCGTTTGCCTTGTGCGGGTCTGCCGCCGCGACAGGGCGAGGGCCAGGCGCGTGGCACCGATGGGGCGTTGCCGTGGACAGGGTCAGATTAGCTCTGGGGCCGCGGATTGGCCAGGGATCCCGCAGTGCAGCGCGCGTCGTGGGACTTGCCATCGTCTGGCGAGTGTGCCGCCGCGGCGACTTCGCGGGCTCCGCGACGGAGGAGGTCTTCCCTGTCGGGGGCCTCGTGTGCGGAGTGCCCAGCACTGCGTAGAGGTGGCTGGGCTCTCACCCAGCTGGGCGACAATGGCGAGCTGCTCCTCGCCGCGCTCGGGCCGCTGCCTGGGCGCCAGTCGGGGCAGAGTATCTACAAGAGCGAACCCACTGACATTCTGTCGATCCACGAGTATGCGGCGCCACCGATCACCATCTGGACGGACCGCCAGGTCGTCTTTTTTTTAAGCCGTGGCCCAGCCTGGGCAGCGCGGCCTGGCGCGAGGCGCAGAGACGCGTGGGTGCGCTGCTGGCAACCCGTGAATGAAAATGGGGGCCTGGGACTTCGCTCAGTGCACATGTGTAAAGTAGAAACGCATGCCGGCAGAGCTCAGGCAGCCCAAATGGGCCCCAGGAGGGTCAAAGGGAAACCGTTCGCAGCAAATCCGTTAAACTTGGTACGCATATGCAGTAGCATCAGCCCTGGCGCCGTTCAGCACATATACAGCGGTATAAGCTCGTGTCGGACACACTCGAGTTCGCAGCATACGATGTTTTGGGGCGAGGGCCCGAATGCACCTCCGAAGGCTCGGGGCCTTCAACTGGGGCCCCGAACCGCCCTGAGCCCCCTGACCCCAGTCGAAGAGATAGCACAAGGGGGGGCCCCCGCTCCCTCCTGATCCGACCAGTGGCCCCCCCGCCGCTCAGGCCGTTCTTGAATGGGGGCGGAGGTCGAGTCGAACAAGCCCTGGCCGCAAGGAGCAACATCGTGCACATTCGGGGAGTAGTATTCAATCGGCGCTGCGCTAGATTCGTCACTGACCGATGGATGGGACTTCTGGCGCGGAGTCCTGGGGACACCCCCTGGAAACGCTCGGGCCGTTTGAGCCGCCTTTGGAACGGAAAGCACCCTTCCACCAACAGGCCCTGTCGAGGCCCCCGTAAGCGCCCAGGGCCGGCATGGGGCGAGGGTTCTCTTTCAAACCACTGGCCGCCGCCGCGCCGCCGCGCCGTCCCCGACTGCCCCGCAATACTCCCGCAATCCTCCTCCGACACACCGCCTCTCGGCTTCTGCTCGCTCGCTCCTCTTCCGCATCCTCTTCCTTTTTCTTCTTCTCCTTCTCCTAATCTTCCTCCTCTTCCTCTTGCTCTCGCGCCAGGGATATCATATAATTGTCGACCGGGTACCCTTGCCGCGTCTTGCTCTTTGCCGCCTCTCTTTGCCTTTGCATGTGTGCCGCCTGGCGCGCCGAGCTGACAATGTATTGGAAGGTTTTTGTTTCTTTTCCATGCCCGCCGATGGGAAGCAGCAGCGCCTCGTCTTCCTCCTCGTCGTCCTCCTGCTCCTCCTGCTCTTCCCCCCCCCTTCCCCGCATCCGCTTGGATGACTGACGGGTGGAATCGCGTGCCACGCGCCCCCCAGGCCCGCAATCTTGGGCTCTTTGGGTGACCAGAGGAACAGGAGCTCCGCGAGGTGTCTTTCTCTACCGAAAATCCGCTTGGGTGCCCCGGGCAGTGGTGGGAACGAGGGCTGCGCCAAAGCTGGACTTCGGATCGGTTGATCCCCGATCGACGATCTGGCTCGGGTCCTTGAGGGCAACGCTTTGAAAAAGCAGTGAGGTCGGATGTTTGGGATGGGGGGGGGGTGGGGAACGGGGCGGAGTACAACATTTGCAGCGTGCAGCAGGTTTCGACTCCGCCGCCGGGCGGCTCGCCCCTGGCGCCTGGGGGCGCTGGTAAAGGTAGCTGCGCGAGGTGATTCGTTGACGCTCCTTTGACAACCCCACCCGAGGACCTGAGGACCGTCTCAGAATGGCGGGAGATCCAGGGCAGCAGCCGTGTTTGGCCTCTCCTATCAGTGGACAGCTCCTGCAGGGTCTCTTGCGGTAGTGCGCTCCTCATACCTTGTCGTCCTCGTGCTCATCCTGCTGCCCCCCGTAATGCCCCAGCGTGTTCCCAGAGGACGAGACGGGGGCCGGCCTGCGACGGATGTTGGCCGAGATGGGCGAGGTGCACGCTGTTCGCGGGAGGGGGCTGGGGTGGGGAGGGTTCCGGACCAGCGCGAAGTACGTTGGGTAATTTGGTGGACAAAGGCGACAACCACATTGACAAGACGATCCGCCCTCCATTTGTGAAACTGTTGAACTATAGTTTTAAGGATCATAGTTGGTGAGCGGGTCTCAGGCGAAACGCTCGGTGTGCCCTACCATCACGCCTCGGGGTGTGACAGGGAGGGGGTTA